TGCCTGTAAAGCCAAATAGGATGTATTTTCCTGCAGCGATACTGCACAGCTACATACATCTGCCGCCAACGCCGCCATCTTGGTTAGATGACACAGACAAACCATGCCTCCTGGACTCCTCCCTGGTGAGGTGTTCTGGACACGTCCCACTGGGAGGAGACCCAGAGGAAGACCCAGGACACGCTGGAGGGACTATGTTTCTCAGCTGGTCTGGGAACACCTTGGGATTCCCCCAGAGGAGCTGGTCCAAGTGTCTGGAGAGAGGGAAGTCTGGGTCCCTGCTGAGGCTGCTGCTCCCGACACCTGACCCCAGAAAAGAGGAAGAAAACGGACGGACAAAAGCTAAGCTAAGCTAAGATAAGGTAAGATAAGCTGAGCTAAACTAAACTAAGCTCAACCTGGTCTTACCTCCAGGTTGTTGACCAGGTTCTCCAGGGAGCCGATGGTTCCGAGTGCACTGTTGTATTTCTCGGCTGCGTTGTCCAGAACAGAGCGCGTCTCTGCATTGTTGCTAACTGCCTGCTGGACGGTGGCGTTGATGCCTGGGAGCCGTTTGATGGCGGCGTCTGCTGAAGCTTTGCTGTCGTCAATCTGCTGGTCGAAGCCTGTGAGATAAAACCAGCTGACCTCTTTAACTTCTGGTTTTACCAGCATCCTGATGTGGCACCTTCCTCTGGGTTTAACTGGGTTTTATTTGTGATTTTATTAAATACTTAGGTTTGTTGCTTTTTAACATCACATTAAAATATTTGGAGTAAATAAGAAACAGGTGAAGGTTTCAGGTTTGAACTGATAGATTTTTGTCTCTGGTTACATGATATTCTGATGGTGGTGCTCGTACCTCTCAGGGCCTGGAGGGCGTCGTCCAGTTCCTTGTTGTTCTTGTTGAAGCTCTTCAGGGCGTCCTCAGTTTCTGTCTTGGCAGCGTTGACTCTGTCCAGCAGCTTGTTGAAGTCCTGCAGATATGAGCAGAAGGTGACGTGTCACATCAGACTAAAAGAACACTTTTAGCTCTGGCTTCCTGGGACTCATCTGTACCTGCTGGGCAGCTCGGCCCTGGTCCAGCAGGTCCTGAGCAGCGCTCTGGTCTTGTTGCACGACTCCCTGCAGCTCCTCCAGAGCTGAGATGTTCTTCTGCACCTCCTTCTTCAGCCCATCCAGCCTGCTCGCCATGGCGTCCACGTCCTCCTGATTATCATCAAAAACACGAGGTCAGAGGTGTCCGACACACACATTGTTTCCTGATGTTCTCCATCTTCACCTTCAAAGATGGAGGCAGTTTCTGCTCCAACTTGGCGATGTCCTCCAACATGCCGTCGGCCATTTTGCTCTCGTTTTTGGCTTCACCGCTTTTTTCGACAGCCTGTTTCTCCAAACTCTTCACCTGGCCTGAGATCTGATCGTAGCTGGACAAACAACAACCACTTCAGTCATTTCTGAGGTCCGCTTTTAATTTGAAAGGTCAAAGTTTGCCATAGGATAAATCTTGTGCCAGCAGAAACTGCTCGGATTGAATCTGAATAATTTGAAATTGAATGCATTGGTTTGAAAATAAATTTTACTAAATTGAAACTGAATTTAATGGTTTGAATTTGAATTAATTTGCTTTGAAACTGTATTTTGGTTTAATAAAAAATCAGATTTTTGTGTCACATCCTGGTCCTTGAGAAAGCCAGGCAGAGTAATCAAACACAGATCCACAGATTTATGTTTCACTTTGGTGAAGTTTCCCTTCTGGATGTAACAGAGTTGATGCAATCCACTGTAAAAGTGACAAAAACAAAGTTATTTTATGCAGTGATTAATTTTACATACAGACAATGTTACATTTACATCTCGTCATTATAGGATTTTCACAGTTACATTACAGAAGGAAGCCTTACCAAAGTGAAACATAAATCTGTGGATCTGTGTTTGATTACTCTGCCTGGCTTTCTCAAGGACCAGGATGTGACACAAAAATCTGATATATGGAACTGAAAGTGAAAGTAGTCAAACTGAATTTTTAATAAACTAAAATACAGTTTCAAAGAAAATTAATTCAAATTCAAAACATTAAATTCAGTTTCAATTTAGTGAAATTCATTTTCAAACCAGTGCATTCATCTTCAATACAGATTCAGTCTGAGCAATTAAAATTCACTTCCTGCTGGCACAAGCTTTATTCCACAGTTTTGTCCAATCAGAGCCACTCACAGAGCGTTCAGGTCTCCGATCAGCTCCTGGACTTTGTTCTCTCTGCTGGTCAGAGCTCGGACCAGAGCCAGACTCTCCTTGGAGTCACTCAGAGCCTCGTTGGCTGCTTGCTGCACGTCGTCCGCCTCCAGCTTGTGTCTGAAAGGTGGAGGTGGAGGGAGTGAGGGTGGGTTCATGGATGAACTGATGACAGAATAAAATCACTCACTCATCAGACAGAGTCGTGGCCGTCTTCACCAGAGAGGACATGTCCCAGCTAGGAGGCGCGTCTCTGAGAGGAAGCTCCTGAAAACAAACGACACTTTGACTGATTTTTATTTCTTCAGTCATCAAATAGTTCAGCAACAAATCAAAACATTACAAAAATGTAAACAGTTTAAATGAAAAGCTCCAGGTCTGTCCTACACATCAAATTAAACTAAACTACCCCTCATAAACACTGCTGTAGAGAAAAACACACACAAAACATATAAACAAGAAAACAAAACAACCCTTAACAAAAACAGATACAATAACAAATTAAACTTATTTACACTTGTAACCCTCAAGTGTATATATATATATATATATATATATACTTTTTATATGAACTACAGTATGTGCTCATAAGTCCATGCTCGCATAATTTCGTAATTGTAATTCCTACAACAGAAAAAAACAGCTTATTGTTTTATAAATCTAATAACATGTCACAAATCGTATTGATTTCCATAACACATATAATGTAAAAAATGAAAATATAATGTAAAAAACTGTAATTAAACAAATGTGTAATAAAGTGGGTTTGTATGTTCATAGTAACATGAATGTCTTGTTTATATAAAATAACTATATCATTTATTGCAGTTTTGTATGTGGAACCCCACATTTCACACAATAATATATATGGAAGTATAACTGAAGAGCAAAGCCTTATAATTATACAGAATTTCTATTGTTTTTTTATTTATACATTTAATGTTGTCTCCATGTTAATTTATGATCAATAATAATCTGTAAAATGATCATTTCTGACACTCGTTCAGTTTCAGCATCACATACTTTTATTATATCATACCCCCAGTTGTTTCTCTTTGATTTCCTAACACCATGAATTTAGTTTTTTTATATTAAGTGATAATCTGTTGACATCAAACCAAGTTTTGAGATTTTCTGATTTAAATAAAACATTTATATTTTTTCAAGAATAATACATATTAGTGTCATTGGCAAAACCAATAAATGTTAATACATTGGTAACATTACAAAAATCACTAATATAAAGTAAAAATTATTCTGGTCCAATCACACACCCCTGGGGTACCCCACATGTAACCCTTCTAAACCATGACACAGTCTTATTCATTTACACACATGTAAGTAACTTTTAAACCAATAATGTGCCATAATCTAAAGCATCAAACACCTTTTTAAAATAATTTCCTCTGAACAAACACGAAAACCCAACGAAGCGTAAACAGCAGAACTTTAGAGGACTGACTGAACCACAGCGCTCTCACCATCGCGTTGAGTTTAGTTTTGGCTTCCTCCAGCTGCCGTCTCATCTCATCGATCAGCGTTTGGACTTCGGCTACTTTGTTCTGAAATATCTGCTGCTGCTCTCTGATGCTGTCGGCTGCTTCAGCCATGTTCTGGATTTCCTGCCCCTCCATCAGCTGACTCCGGCTGATGGAGGACAGACGACTCTGCAGCACCTTCTCCATCCCTGCTGGTCAGAAACATGACTTCATCAGTAAAACATCTGACCTCTGTCCACTGAAGCTGCTGGAAACAAAACGTGTTACAGCTCAGGTTCACTTCAGGTTATTAGATTTTACTGTAAAAAACGGACCAACATTTATTCTTAGACAAAACAAAGAGCTGAACCTTCAAAAGGTTTCATCGTTCAGAGAAATCACCAGAGTTGTTTCACGTTTAGCTGTTAAAGCTGAAATCATTTGATGGAACAGCCATCTTTTTCATTTGATCACAATCCTTTTCTTTATAAAACGAAGGAAAAATGGTTGAAAACGTGGCGCCGGGTTCAGGTCTGACCTGTGAGGTCCTTGGATCGGTCCTGCAGGCCCCTCACTGTCTCCTCAGCTGCTTTCAGGACCACCTCCATCTCTGAGCTGCTGACCGGTTTCAGACCTGAGTCCATCTCTGACAGCAGCTTGTCCAGATCCTTCAGTTTGTTCTCAGAGAGCTCCATCTGACGCAGAGGAACAGAGATGTAAAGAACAAGACAACTTTCTGCTGCAGGTTCTGCTGCAGGTTCTGGTCCAGGTTCTGGTCCAGCGGGGACACTCAGAGTGCATGCTGGGAAACAACTATTGGACAGGACAGAGACAGATGAAGTTACCTTTGCTTTGACCGGGTTGAAACAGGCAGGACATCTGGACCGCTGACACCTCAGACCCTCAAAGTCCGGTCGGCACCGACACTGACCCGAGTCATTGCACTGAGCGGACTCTGAACCTCGAAGGTCACAGCTGCAGGCTGCTCAAAGGAACACACAGAGTGAGGACTCAGGAGGGTCTGAAGAGTCCTGGACTCAAACTGAGGAGGACCAGGTCTGAAGAGCACACCCAGACCAGTCAGTCCCATGTTCTGCAGAGACCTGTACTTTGGACTCAGACTCACGTTTGCAGGCATCGGTGGGCCGGCTGTGGTAGAACCCGGTCAGGCAGGACTCACAGGACTGTCCTCTGGTGTTGTTGAGACACTTGAGACAGTCCCCGGTCCTCCGGTCACAGCTTTCGGCCACGCGGACATCGATGTGACCGTTACAGCTGCAGGGTCTGCAGGGACGCCTCAGGCCTGAGAACCCTGTGGGGTCACCATAAAACCCCTCCTGGCAGACGTCACAGTAAGGACCTGAGGACACAAAAACTGTCAGTCCTCTAAAGGGGTTTGAACGGTCCTGATCCAGATCCAGCCAGACTCAGGGACCCAGTAGAGTTTGGACCTGGACTCACCGAGGGTTGCTGGTGGACAACTTTCACACTGAGGCTCCAGAGAACCAGCAGCCAGCGAGCAGGACGTCCCCTGAGGACAGGGACACCTCACGCAGCCCCCCCGCCGGTCCCTGTAGAACCCCTCGGAGCAGCTCTGCTCTTCGGGGGTCTCGTCTGCAGAGTAACAGTCTCCGGTCTGTGGGTCACAGCTGCCCCCCCTGCAGCTGCAGGGCTCGCAGGGACTGAAGGCTCCGTCAGCCGGGACCCTCCTCCTGAACCCGGCTGAGCAGACCTCACAGAACTGGCCCTCGTGTCCCCGAGGACAGCTGCAGGTCTGAACCCAGCGGGCCGGGACGCCGTCTCCACGCCGCGCCGACACCAGCTTCACGTTGTCCAGGTAACCACGACCTGATGAAGCAAGATAGAATAGAATAGAATAGAATAGAATAGAATAGAATAGAATAGAATAGAATAGAATAGAATAGAATAGAATAGAATAAAGAGATCTGCGACCAGCAGCTCACCGTTTTCTCCAAACGTGGCCCGGACCTTGATGGCTGTGAGGTTCTGGAGAAGCTTCTGGAACTGGTCTGAGGACAGCTGAGGCCTCCACTTCCTGTCAGACTGCTCGTCCAGCCTGTTGAGCAGAGGACATCAGTTCACCTCAGAAACACACCTGGCTGCTTTACTGTGGAAACAAACGTCTTCACCTTCAGCAGGTTACAGGTGTGGCTGCTTGGAGGGGAAAGAAAAACAACCGAAGGCTGGACCAAGACTTTTGCACAGGTCTGAGTTGTTTAAAACAGCTTCATGATGTCAAAATGTGGAAACAAAACTGTTCATAGTTTGTTTTTAATGTTGGACTTCCTGTTTGTTTCAAAGTTAGACTTCCTGTTTGTTTCAAAGTTAGACTTCCTGTTTGTTTCAAAGTTAGACATTCTTTTTATTTTGAAAGTCAGACTCCCTGTTTGTTTTGAAAGTTAGACTTCCTGTTTGTTTTAAAAGTTAGACTTCCTGTTTGTTTTAAAAGTTAGACTTCCTGTTTGTTTCAAAGTTAGACATTCTTTTTATTTTGAAAGTCAGACTTCCTGTTTGTTTTGAAAGTTAGACTTCCTGTTTGTTTTGAAAGTGGGACTTTCATTTTATTTTGAAAGTTAGACTTCCTGTCACGGCTCAGCTCACTGTCAGCTTGGTCTCAACATGCCTCAGAACAGGTGACGTTGATGTAAACAAGCTGAGTTTCAACACGTTTCAGGAATGTTTACTGTTCTGTGAAGGATGGAGGTAAATCCTGCCAACATGTCTGAGACTTCAGAAACACCAACAAAGCCTTCAGTTCAACCAGGTGGGTGGAGCTTATCAGGACAGGAGTGATGTCATTCAACAGAAATGTGACAGGTAGTGTCTTTACAGGTGAGTTTCTGACCTGAAGCTGTAGTTGATCTTCTGTCCACAGGGGACAGTGGCCCTCAGGTCCCCCAGAGAGGCGGAGACTCTCAGACCGGCGCCCTCCAGGATCACGTCGTTGGTGGACGGATGTCGGACACCGCGGTCCAGACGCAACGAGAAGGACAAGTTCTGACCGTAACTCAACAGCTGGTTCCCCAGGTAAGGTTCTGTTCACAGGGCAGGAAACACCGGGTCAGAGGCAAGGATTGGAAAACAAATCAGCTTTTAGAGAGACGTGGAAGAGGCGGAGCTTGTCTCACCTGGTGCGTACAGGTAAGTCGGCAGGCTGTGTTTGGAGATCACCTCCAGGTCCTGATGCTTCGGCGACCAACGGAAGTAAACGTCATGAGGAGTCACACCTCCCTCCGTCGCCACCTTCCAACCCTCCGGACCTGAAACCAAACGGGTGCTTTTATTTTGAAACAAACCCCACGGCATGGATGATTGGGTCTTTTATTGTGGAAGGATGGGTGGAGAAGTTACCTGCAGTGAAGGTGGAGGTGATGTTGTGGACGGAGTAACCAGACTGTGCAGAACACCGGTGGCTGTGTCCATAACAGAAACATGGCAGCGTCAAACTCCCAGAGTCCTCTCTTTCCTGCCGCCTGACAAACACAAACATAAACACAAACATAAACAACACAAACATAAACACAAACATAAACAACACAAACATAAACACAAACATAAACAACACAAACATAAACACAAACATAAACAACACAAACATAAACAACATAAACACAAACACAAACATAAACAACACAAACATAAACAACACAAGCATAAACACAAACATAAACATAAACATAAACAACACAAACATAAACACAAACATAAACAACACAAACATAAACAACAAAAACATAAACACAAACAACACAAACAAAAACAACAAAAACAAATACAAACAAACAGAAACACAAACATAAACAACAAAAACATAAACACAAACATAAACAACACAAACATAAAGAACAAAAACATAAACACAAACATAAACAACAAACATAAACACAAACATAAACAACACAAACATAAACAACACAAGCATAAACACAAACATAAACAACACTAACATAAACAACACTAACAAAAACATAAACAATACAAACAACACAAACATGAACAACACAAACACACACATAAATAACACAAACATAAACACGAAAAACACAAACAACGTAAAGGCCTTTGGGACAGGAAGTGTACTTCTGTGGAGCCAGTAGAGTTCCCCACATGGTGGTCCATGGACCAGGATCTGGAACCTGATCAGTACTGTATGTAGGTCCCCACATGGCGGTCCGTGGACCAGGACCTGGACCTAAATGTTCTGGGGTTCGGTCCTCACCTGTGCGGGCAGCCGTTGGGTCCAATAGGCCCGTCGGGACAACGCTCACATTTGTCTCCGGAGACATTGTCTCTGCAGCTGCAGCGCCCCCTGCTGTCACACGCTGCGCTGACAGAACCTGCAGAGAGACCAACAGGAAGCTGTCATCACCTTTTCCTAACAGGACGTCGTCATGACGACAGACAGGTGCGCCCTCACCTGTGGGGTTACAGAGGCAGGGTGAGCAGCTCGGCCCCGCCCCCTGCAGGTAGAACCCGTCCTTGCAGCGCTCGCAGTGGCGTCCTTCTGTGTTTCCCTGACAGTCGACACATCGGAGACCCCAGGGGTCCGGCAGGCAGAACCGGGCCCTCTGGTTACACTCGCAGCGCCCTCCGACTGCAGGAGGAACAAAAAACAACTTGATGTTTAAATCTGTTAAAATTATTAAATTTAACTTTAATTTAACATTTATTAGATAAAACAGTTTAACCTTCAATCTGTGGTTTTATTAAGATTTAATTTAACTTATTTTTTAATCATTTTGTGTAAAACGTCTGTAAAAATGTATTTTATTCTGTAAACATTTTTCTGATGTGCTGTTGTTTTCCCCTGAGCGTCATCTCGACCAGCATCTGTAAACAGCTGTGTACAGAGGTTTACAGATGTTTACAGCGGTTTACAGAAGTTTACAGCTATTTACAGCTATTTACAGATGTTTACAAATGTTTACAGATGTTTACAGCTGTTTACAGCTATTTACAGAAGTTTACAGATGTTTACAGCTGTTTACAAATGTTTACAGCTGTGTACAGAGGTTCACAGATGTTTACAGCTGTTTACAGAAGTTTACAGCTGTTTACAGAAGTTTACAGATGTTTACAGCTGTTTACAAATGTTTACAGCTGTGTACAGAGGTTCACAGATGTTTACAGCTGTTTACAGCTATTTACAGATGTTTACAGCTATTTACAGATATTTACAGCTGTTTACAGATGTTTACAGCTGTTTACAGAAGTTTACAGCTGTTTACAGAAGTTTACAGCTGTTTACAGAAGTTTACAGATGTTTACAGCTGTAAACATCTGTTTAACTTTTGTAAACAGCTGTTTAGAGCTTTACAGATGTTTACAGCTGTTTACAGATGTTTACAGACCTATGTAAATGTCTGTAAACTTCTGTAAAGGTTTACTGTTATAAACAGCAGTTTACAGATGTTTACAGCTGTAACAGCTGTTTACTGAAGTTTACAGTTGTAAACAGCTGTAAACATCTGTTTGACTTTTGTAAACAGCTGTTTACAAAACTGAACCTCCTGACCCACAGTCCTGCAGAGAAGTCCTGGGTTCTGGGCCCGGTCTGATGAAACACCACAGCTGTTTGGGTTAGTCTAACTCCAGCTGTGGTTCCAGCTGTTTGTTCAGGGTTTAAGCTGAGCAGCTATGATCAGACGGAGCTCAGAGGAGATTAGAGGAGAAAATAGTTTATAAATCAGCCAGAACCTTTATTTTTATTAGTTTCCAGTCATTCAGATTAAAAACAGGTGGTTTCTGAGCTGAAACCTGTTGTTTCTTCAGACTCAAACGGATCCAGATGTTTCTGTTTTTACAGAATGAAGAGAGGAAAATGTGACCACAGACTGAAAACAGTTGTCCTCTGATTTACTGGTCAGATCTGACTCAGTCCTGGCCTCTGATTGGTCGATCCTCTGTGACTCAGGTGTTAATGTTCACCTGAGCACAGAGGCAGCGATGAGCTCAGGTGTTGTGTTTTTTCAGACAGTTTCCGACACGCTCGCCTCAGAAACTCTTCATGACTCAAATCAAACCTTTTCTTTTTCACAGCCGGAGGGCAGAAAAACAACCGACACACCCTGCAACATTTCTGCAGACTTTACTTCATAAAACATCACTTTTAAACATCCTGTAAATGTTCTTTCTTTGGTTTTCAGGACAAACTCTTTGTCAAAAACAAAGTAATAAATATAAATAAATGTTATTTCTAATTATTAAATTCATTAAAAGTGACTCGTGTGTCGACACATCCTGAATTCTTCTCTGCAGTTATTATTTTAACCACTGTCATAAAACTGTGGAGTTGTTTCCTGAGGGGGAGGAGTGGTCCTCTGACAGGTGAGCGATGGGGGCGGAGCCTCACCTACAGCAGGTAGACTGTCATCTGAGGACAGAAATCCTCCAAAAATGAAGAAAATAATCGACATGAAGTTATTTTTGTCCATTTTGTCCCAGATTATTCTAAGACCCTTTATTCAAACGAGGTGGCCAATCACTGCTGGTCTTACTGCTGAGCTGGATTCCTTCTGTTTTTTAGGACTTTTGACTCAAATAAACATCTGGATGCTTTTCAACTTTATATTCTCATCATCCAAACATCTGAAGAAATTTCTCTCAAACATGAATGAAAGAATCAAACAGTCCTGACCCTCACTTGTGGTCATGAGAGGACGGACAGAAAGGAACAGAGCTCAGGTCCAGATTTATCTGCTGGACTTTATCTGTCAGCAGGAGAGAGGATGATGGATGGATTCATCAAAAACTAACGAAGAAAACTTTGTAAAAAATATACAGACTGAAAGTCATCGATGAGATTCATCAAAATGTTTCAGCTCATGTTTTATCTTTAGGTGATAATTTACTTTGTTAAGAAACTGACGGTCTTGTTTGATCTGAAACAGACTTTTAGTTTAAATCTAAAACCAGAAGAATAGAAGTCTGAAACTAACAGAATAAAAGCTTTAAACTTAAAGAATAAAAGCTTTAAACTTACAGAATATAAATGTAAACAAAAGCAAACGGAACAGTAAATGAAGCAGAAGCAGTGTAAATGAATCAGACACAGTGTAAATGAATCAGACGCAGTGTAAATGAAGCAGACAGTGTAAATGAATCAGACGCAGTGTAAATGAATCAGAAGCAGTGTAAATGAAGCAGACACAGTGTAAATGACGCAGACACAATGTAAATAAATCAGAAGCAGTGTAAATGAATCAGAAGCAGTGTAAATGGATCAGACGCAGTGTAAATGAATCAGACGCAGTGTAAATGAATCAGAAGCAGTGTAAATGAATCAGAAGCAGTGTAAATGAATCAGAAGCAGTGTAAATGAATCAGAAGCAGTGTAAATGAATCAGAAGCAGTGTAAATGAAGCAGACACAGTGTAAATGAAGCAGACGCAGTGTAAATGAAGCAGTACTGTGTGCAGCAGAGGCAGAGACTCACAGCTGAAGGAGGTCTGGACACAAACAGCAGCCAGAAGCCCGCAGACTGAGATCCAGCTGATCTTCTTCATGTTGGCTCAATCCTGACTAAATCCTGTCGTTCCTTCAAAGAGGAGCTTTTAAAGTCCCCTCCCGCCCTGCTGCAGGTCAGGTCTGTGCACGCTGCACCCTGACTGTTAGTCAGAATGATTCAGGAACAGAGTCAGAGGACGTGAGCTGCAGCTCTGGGTGTTGTCCAGAGTCTGTGAGGACACAAGACGTCTCTGTGTCTCTGCAGCTGCACGAACTCACATCAAACCAGTAAAACCATCCAATAATCTGAGAGCTCTTTGTTTCATCAGCCGAAACATCAAATATGGCCAGAGCTGAACAGAACCAGAACCAGAACCAACTGCCTGAGTCCAGGACAGAAACTAACTGAAGAAAACATTAAACTCACAAACTAGTCTGGTCCTGGTCTGGTCCTGGTCTGGACCTGGTCTGAACTCAGTCTGGACCAAATCTGAACCCAGACTGGACCAAATCTGAACCCAGTCTGGACCAAGTCTGGACCCAGTCTAAAGCCGGTCTTGACCCAGTCTGGACTCAGTCTGGACCTAGTGTAGACCCTGATCCTGATCCTGGTCCTGGTCCTGCAGGCACGTTTCTTTCTGTGTGTAAAAACCATGTCCTGCAGGTATGACACACTGACACACCCTGATCTGCAGACACACACTCACACACACTCACACACAGTCACACAGCCACGCCTGCTTTGTTCTTGTTACCGTGCCAACACCACACCTAAACACACACACACACCTGAACACACACACCTGAATTGAACACACACCTGAACACACACACCTGAATTGAACACACACCTGAACACACACAC